ATTTTTGTTTATTTGCGTGTCTTCGAATAGGTACTCCATCCACAATTAAACAGCTTTGATATTGTGATTAAAAGCATTCTTCTGCATGATAAAACATGTGGCGCAGAAGTGTATGCACTCACCCCATAAATATTTAGAATGCTGTTGAACTTTTACAGGAGTTGATAGTGTTTTAAAGAGTTTTGGACATCGTATAAGACACAAGTATTGATCATATCATTTTTTCTGGAGATTATTATTGAGAGCCTTATAAATGGCTTTAGTTCGGCTAGATCGACGAAGACACTAGGTAGAGAAAGTTGGATAAATCATTTCTTTTTCACAAAAAAACGGTTGTTCTGCTGTGACATCCGAATCTAGAAGATAGATGACATGAAGGAGTGCACAGTAATGATGCAAGAGCGAACATGGCATGAGGAGTTTTAGTTTTTATTATGGAATACTTTGATTCACTCATTCTTCTCTATGTTACCATATTTTAAGATGAGCAAGCTCTATTAGTTATTTACCCTTAAGAACTCACACTTTGCACTTTCTGTTGCCAGTGAGTAAATTACTCGAGCATTCTTTCCAGTATCTGAGTCAGTTGCCGTGAGTCGATCTATAACAACACCAGGAGGCCAATTGTCCACTACTTGCATGGCATATTGGTCTTGTGAGAAACGTGGAGCGTTGTCATTCACATCCAAAAGTCGAATAAAGAGCTTAATCAGGACCATGAAAGCATTTATAGTTACTTTATTTCGAAAAACTGATTACAAACCGTTGCAGAGTCCTGATTACCAGCACCATCTTTCACAGTCAAATGTACAGTTTGCCGTTCCATAGCTTCGCGATCCAATATTGCATTCTCAGCCACTGCGACAATCAGCGATCCATTCACCTGCGCGTAATTTGGTCAGAATTTATTTGCAAAAGCGTTTACGGTTATTCTTACAATCGATGCCGTGTACAACTCGCTTCCAAAGCCAGATTTCTCAACTGCAAATTTGCTAAACTCAGCGGGATCATCGGCGTCTGTTAGCTTCAGTTTGGCAATCACAGTTGATGGAGGTAAATTTTCGGGTATCGGCACCTAAATGATGGCCATAACATCACTTTCAAGACTTAAATACAAATTATTTTAGGAGAAAAAAAGGAGAATTCGTATGAATTCACTAACCTCATTGTTTAGTCCCTCCTTATCCAAAACAGGTGGATTGTCATCAACGTTGCTCATGGTGATCTTCAGCACTGCCACTGATTCATAAGGTGGCGATCCTGCTATAAACTCTAGAGAAAAACTCCTGTCATCGGGTGTCATTGTTTCAAAATCGAGGCGATGAGCAATCGAAACTGCTCCTGAAATTTGCTTGATTCCAATATTGAACAACAGATTCTTGGGTATTGCTCAATATACCGGTATC